AGAAGGTTATGAGACACCCTTGGATAGTGAAATATGAAGAGCGAAGTAAGGGTCCCGTGCGACCTTCTGAAGCGTAGCAAAGTCAAGAGACAATATTGCGCCCTCGGTGATCTCTTCATTTTGCTCTCATTTATGCCTAGAGGTTTTGTAATGCCGAACTACGTTGAAATATAGCTGGATCCATAAAGAAATGCTGGAGACTATCACGCTTTTCATTCGACGTGAGGATGATATTTTATGATTATAGATATATGATCTTGTATGTATACATGAAAGATTGCAAATCTCGCCCGCACTTTCCTCTCTTAGATGATATAATACATAAAAATATGTTCATAATACTATGTATTAGATCTATAGCTCGCATATATACCGTTTTACTTTCACTTGTTCTTTGAGGTTCAACGACCATCACCAAAGCTATCGTCCATCGTCTATCAAATGGTCAAATCCAACAAGTAAATCTGGTATATACCTATGTCTTCTCCTCGGTATATCAAGAGGTAGACTTTATTTGGCCCGAGGAGATTTATAGTGGCAACTGCATGTCAGGATGCAGGTGGGCTACTTCTCCGCGACTGACTACAAAATGGTCGCTGTTCCTGCAACCGCTGGCACTAAGCCCAGCGGCAAGCAGATCAAATCCAAGAATCAATACAAGAGGGAGAAAGCTAAGCTCAAAAAAGCTGCTGGATCCAAGGACAATGGAGCGGTTGTGAGAATCCACATGCTCTTGTGGCCATATCATGCTTACGGTTTTCTTCAGGATACAAACGGGATGAAGAAAGAGGATTCAGAAGATGAGAAGATGGATTCAGCTGAGGATGTCGAGTATGTCATGGAATCATTTGACATGAAAGACTCGATGGAAAACTTCTCAAATGTATTTGCGCGTTTTAAACCATTAGCTGAAGAGACTACGGTATGTAAAGCATCCCGATGAGACCTTGAGATCATAGCTAACAGTGCATTAGACAACTGAGGGAGCAGGTCCTTTCAAGGGAGAAGTCATCTATTCCGATGATGACATGCCTTCCGAAGGCGAAGACAGTGACGGAGAGAAGAAACCTCTTTCGAAGAAGAAGCAACGAAAAGCTAATAGGCTCACCGTCGCCGAGTTGAAGCAACTGGTCACTCGTCCAGAAGTTGTCGACTGGTGGGATCCCTCCGCTGCAGATCCAAGATTGTTGATAGCACTTAAATCTTATCGTAATACCGTTCCTATACCACAACACTGGAACCAAAAACGCGACTATCTTCAAGGGAAACGAGGAATTGAAAAGCCTCCATTCCAACTACCTGCCTATATTGCCGACACTGGAATTGCCACAATACGAGAAGCTGTAAAAGAGAAGGAAGCGAGTATGACTCTCAAAGCTAAAACAAGAGAACGGGTGCAACCAAAGATGGGTAAAGTAGATATTGATTATCAAAGGCTGCACGACGCATTCTTCAAGCATATGACAAAGCCACCCACTACTGGTTTCGGTGAGATGTATGGGTAATTTCATCCGGAACGTTTCAATATGCTTATGCTCCTTTGCTCACAGGTATTATGAAGGCAAAGAATTCGAGACGTCTCTCAAGGAGAAGCGCCCCGGAGATCTATCACCTGAACTTATCGAAGCATTGTCTATACCCCCATTAGCACCACCTCCATGGTTGATTAGCATGCAGCGGTTTGGTCCACCACCTAGCTACCCTACATTGCGGATACCAGGGTTGAACGCGCCGATACCTTCGGGGTTCGTAGCAAATAGAGCCGGAGTCTAGCCGATTACTAAAACAGTTTCTAGCGCTCAGTGGGGCTTCCATCCAGGAGGGTGGGGCAAGCCGCCGATGGACGAATACAATCGTCCATTATACGGCGATGTGTTTGGTGTGCTACCGAAGGCTTCAGATTTCCAGGAGGTGTGTTATGCTTCCCGATTTTTATATCGTTAAGAGGGTTGCATCTCACGAATTTTTAGATCGGCGAGCCAATAGAAAGAGAATTATGGGGCGAGCTTGAACCCGAAGGTAGGATGGGACATCTGGAGCCAAACAAAATATTCATGATTTTTTATAACAGAGGAATCAAGCGAAGAGGAGGAAGAGGAGGAAGAAGAAGAGGAAGAGGAAGAAGAGGCTGTTG